ACCCAGCTCAGCTCCCTGGGCCTCCTGACCCCCAGAAACTGGAGGATCAGAGGTGTTTGTTAAGTTGCAGTTTTGGGGTACCTAATTAGGCCGTAAGCCCCTGTGGCCATGTGGGCGGTCCACGATGGACATGACCACGCAGGTGGCTCTGGGCACACGCCGCCTCTGCGGAGCCTGCCTCCCTCCCTGCCGCTCCACTTGCCACGGAACACCCTGTGTCAGGCCCGACGGAAGAGGCCAGCGGGAGATGACGATTTGTTTGAAGAGGACCAATCAGAGTTTCAACACTCAGGGATTCCTGCCTATGTGCCGGGCCCCGTCCCCAGAGTTTCACAGGTACAAACTCACTTAAGCCCCACCACAACCTCTGAGGCTGGTCTTCAGTCCCATTTGACACACCAGGATGCCGAGGCACAGAGAGTCCAAGTGCCTTGCCCAAGGTCACACAGCCAGGAAACATTCAAGAGAACATTTCCTTCCATACTTCTAGTCTTCACAGCCACTGGTCATGGGCGTCTTCTTTGCAAACTGGGGGGTAGCCGGCTGCAGGAAGCACCCTGCATTCTCAAGTCCAACTTCCTGCCTCCTGATATTCATTTCCTCTGGCTGCATGACAATCTGCCACCATCTCAATGGCTTAACACCATAGGGACCTCGCTGTCCCCTGGCTGGTGTGGGTCAGGAGCCCGGTGCGGTGCGGCTGGGTTCTCCGACAAGGCTTCCACAGGCTGAAATCAGGGGCCGGTGGTCTCATCCGAGGCCCGGCCTCGCTCGGACTGCTGGCAGAATTCTGTGCCTTGTGGTTGTGGGACTGAGGTCCCCGCTTTCTTGCTGGCTGTTGATGGGGACCCCCACTGCTCCCTGCCATGCGGGCCCCCACTCCAGGCCTGCTCCTTCACATCGCTAATGTCCTCTAGACCCAGATGAAGGGCTCAGGTGAGAGATCTGGCCCGTTGGATAACCTCCCTTTCCTGACGTCGACCGTGACCCAACCTAACAACCTGATCGCAGGAGTGAGATCCTTGTGTGCGCACTCCCAGGGCTACACAGGGTATGTGACCAGGAGGCAGGGCTCCCGGGGCCACCTTGGAGCTCTGCCCACCCCACTTCCCTGCCCGGGGGCCGAGGCAGGAAGAGGTGCACGTAGGCAGCTCCCAGCTCACCTTCATGGGGTTGTTCAGCTCCTCGTCCTCCCGCTCCTTCTGCATCCTCTTCTCCTCCTCCTCCAGGAGCTTCTCCGCCTGGAAGTTCCGTGTGGCTCCGTGCTCCATGGTGTAGTCTGTGTTCTCGGGGTCTGTCTGGAAGGGAGAACGGGCAGACGTCAGTCCTATGTCCCTGGGCATCAAGAGCTCCTGCTAGCCAGCAGCCAGCAGCCTGGGACACCTCCTCTCCATGCCTCACTCCTGCTCATGCCTTTCCTTGTCTTTTTTTTTTTTCTTGTTTAAGATTTATTTATTTTAGAGACAGAGCGAGCCTGAGCTGGAGGGGAGAGAGAGAATCTCAAACAGACTCCCTGCTGAGTGCCGAGCCCGACATGGAGCCTGACACGGGGCTCGATCTCATGACCCTGAGATCAGGACCTGAGCTGAAACCAAGAGTCGGACACTCAGCCACTGCGCCCCCCAGGCACCCCCCCTTTTCTTGTCAAATGCCTGGGTCAAACGCTACTTTCTAGTGTTCCTGTCCTCTTTCACAAAACGCCAAACTCCACAGCATGGATCTTCAGACCCCTCTGCACCTGCCTGCTGCCGCCCTCCGCGAATACAAGTCTCTGGGCCTTTGCACGTGTCCTGCCTTCCTGTCTGCTCTGTGCGTGTGTGCATGTGTGTGTGCTCACGTGCGCATCTGTTCACGATTTTCCATACTTATAAATCACGTATCAAGCACATACACAGCATGCTCCTACACGCATTTCTAGGATGGAGAGGGGAAATATAAGCTGGCATCCTGGATGAGACCCTGGAGCAGAAAGACAGCATCAGGGAAAACACGGAAACCCACGTTGTGTGTGGAACGTGGCTAACGGTAACGTTCGGTGTCGGTTTCTTCCTGCGACAGAGACGACGACAGAGACAGCACTACTGCCGGCGTGGAGGATGCGGGCGGGAGGGGAAGCGGGCGAGGGGCCGGCGCGACCCTCTGTGCCAGCTCTGCAGCTCTGCCGTGTGTCCAGAAGTACTGTGTCCAGGCACGGGGCTGGCTGGGCAGGGGGAGCGGCAGGTGGATTTCGCTCCATCTGAGCTCTGCTTCTACCACGCTGGAGCATGATTGAGCATGAAGTGGAAGGGGCCCCGTCACACACCACGGTGTGGGGGAGCCCGGAACCACACCAGGACACAAGCGCAAGGACAGAGCGCGTGGCGCCACTCGCGGAAAACATCTGCCACGGGCAGGCCCCCAGACGGAGAGCAGACGGGTGGCTCCCAGGGCGGGGGCGGGCACAATGGGGACCGACTGCTAACGGTTATGGGGCTCATTTCGGGGGTGGTGGAAATTTCCTGGAATTGGGCACAGGGTCAGTTTAGTCCACCGTGAATACACTAAACACCACCGGGTCATGCACTGTAAAAGGTGAACTGCAGGATATCTGAATCACATCTCACTACAGCCGTTGTTTAAAAAGTACTCCAAATGGGGGCACCCGGGTGGCGCAGTCGGTTGAGCATCCGACTCTTGACTTCGGCTCAGGTCGTGATCTCCAGGCGGTGAGATGGAGCCCCGCATTGGGCTCGCGGTCAGTGGGGAGTCTGCTTGAGAGTCTCTCTCCCTCTGCCCCTCCCCCGCAGCCTGTGAGTGCACGTGCTTGCTCTCTCTCAAATAAATAATCTTAAAAAGAAAAAAGTAATCAAAACATGTAATTCTTTCAATGTACTCTTTTTATACCCAAAGGGAAGAGCGTTTGGTAGAAAGAAACTCCAACAGAACGTAAGGTCCTCGGCCATTCCCCCAAATTCTCAACACAGTCGTGGCCGTGACCGTGACTGGCTGCCACGTCACGGTGCAGTCTGTTCCCTGAATCCTATGTCACGGAACATCCGGGCCTTTGTACATAATGCTGCCGGGAACAAGTCTGTCTCCTGGGAGCAGGGTGAAACAGGAGCTCCGTGGAGGGAGAGGACAGGAGCAGGGAGCCCCCGGGGGGAAGGACCAGCCTGACTGGGCTGGTGTCTACCTTGAAGGTGATCTCTGCCAGGCATCGTGTGCACTTGATGTAGAAGCGGAAGATGGGCAGGCCCAGGTAGGCCTCGTTCTGCACTGTCTCCTTCCGCGCGTTGAACTTCTTGCCCTTGTAGATGTACTCTCCGCATGTCTTACACCTGTGGGGCAGGACAGAGGGACTCAAGCCATCACGGCACCCTGGTGCCTACTGGTGGGACGCTGGCATTCTGGCAGATGGCTGCTGGCATACCTCACGGGACAGGGAGCTCCCCCATTCCCGAGGCAGACTGCCTCAGATTCCCCCCACCTGGCGCGCTCTTCTGACTGTGTGCCTGGACCTTGGCCCCGGGGTCCCCTTCCGGGAAAGCGCCCAGACGACCCAGACCTGCTGAGACTCGCCTGTCACACACTTGCAGCAGCCTGTTCCCCACAGCGTCCTCCCTGCCCCGCCTAGGCCCTGGCACACAGCAGGTGCCTGAAAGGATAGCTGTGTTTTAAAAATAAATGGATGAAGGAGAAAGAGAAACAGACCAATCATATGCAAAAACACACTGAGTTTCAGAGAACAAGGTGTCTGACGATCGGGTGTATCCGACTTCAATTTGCTAAAACGTGAAAAAGCGTGAGGCTCCAAATCGGTAAGACACGATAATTGTGAAGTGGTACAAAGGGCAAGATCTGGGGATGGTGAGGGAGAGGGAATCATGGGAGGGGTCAGGCAGTAGGTCATGAGGGCCTCTCTGAGGGGATAAGGTTTTTTTAAGATTTTATTGAAAAAAGTTTTTTGAAATATATATTTTTAAAGCTTATTATTTTCTAAAAAATTAATCTCTACACCTAACGTGGGGCTTGAACTCACGACCCTGAGATCAAGAGGGTCTACCAACTGAGCCAGCCAGGTGCCCCTGAGAGGGTGAGATTTAAGCCAAGACCTGAGAGGTGAAGAAGAGCTGGCCAGGTGAGAGCAGAAGGAAGAATGTTCCAGGCAGAAGGAACAGCCTGTGCAAAGGTCCTGCGGTATGAAGAAGTGTGGCTGCTGGAGGCGGTGAATCAGTACACGGGATCCCATCTCTGCACTCACGCTTATTACCCACAATCAAGATCTTGAGGCAGATACTGGCTGGGAGCTCTGAGTCAGGGGGGTTAATCCCGATCTGTGAGGAAAGTGAGGGTTGGCACAGTCCCGCACTCACTTGGTCGATGTCTGAGCCTGCACTGGGGACCTGGTCTGAGTGCCAGGGATGAGCCACTCTATGGGGGTGTCAGGCACCGGGTCTGTCTGCCAGGACTGATGTGGGGGGCCACGTGAGGGGCCACGTGGGGGGGTGTCACACGGCGGGGGGGCACTCACCTCATGTTGAAGGGAGCCATCAACCGCACCACATACTGCCGATCTTTGGGGAGCTTGAGTTTGGGGATCTTTGACGGGTCAAAGTCGGGCGGGTAGTATTTCTGTGGGAAGTGAAAGTGTCAGGGGAGCTGTCTTGGGCACAGGAGCAGGCCAGGAGAAGAGGGAGGAACTGTACCCAGGTCCCCAGGACCACCCCACAGTCTGATGATTTGGTGGGAGGGCTCCTAGGACTCAGCATACACTCGTACTTATGGCTACCACTTACTACGGCAAAAGGACACAGCGACGCATCAGCAAAGGGAAAAGGTGTGTCGGAAGGGGCCCGGGGAGACCAGGCACAGGCTTCCAGAGTCTTCTCCCCGTGGAATCCCACAGGACGTGTTAATTACCCCAGTGAGGAAATACGACCACACACGTGAGATGGTGTCTCCCAGAGCAGCACACAGGGAGCCCAGGGCTTTCACTGAGGGATGGTCACCCGGCCCCTCTGCCTCGCAGCTTCCAATATTCCAGACCCCGGAAGGACGGCCGGTGCTCAGCATGACCCATGGTGTTCGTACAAAGAGTGTAAGCAAGGGAACCATCCTGAGATTCCAGTTCCCAGATGCCAGCCAAGGTCCAACCTGGCAAGCCAGCCGGGACGGCAGCCTCGGGCCTTCTGTATTAGCTGCTCCGGCACGGGAGTCTGAGCTGGGAGATATGCGCAAGGCAGGTGTGGATCATGGAAAACAGCTTCACTGGACAATCAGAAAATAAAGCAGTTCGTATTCTGAGCACCTACTAGGTGCAGGGCGCTGCTACACGGAACACTTTTCAGCCCTTGCCTCACAGAATGCTTGCAGAGCCTCTACGAGGCAGAGCGTGATGTGCCCACGTCACAGAGGAGGAACTGAGTCCCGGAGGGGACACGGCTCTGGGGGAAGCAGCGCGGCCCGGTAATCAGGGGCCTGGGTCCGAGTCCTCCTCTCCCTGGCTACCTCCCTGGGCCTCGCTGTCCTCATCTGAACGGAAGGACCCCGTCCGCCTCCGCAATCTGATGGGCAGCGCGCTGGCGCAGTATGCACCAGGAAATGATGAGGACAGAGGGCTCCCAACTGGACCGTCAGGGCGGAAGGTCTTTCGTGGACACGGAGTCCAGCACCTGCCCTGGACTGTGAAGACGCCGGGGATGGATACCTAACTGCTGGTAAGATCAGAGCACGGAGCCGCAGGGAGTGGCCTCGGCCCGCCGGTGGAAACCTGGGCTCTTGGCCTTACATCCTGGGCTTACACACTCCCAGGCCGGGGAGCTCACTCCCCGCCACGGAGCACACACCCCTCCCGGGGGCTGCGGACGGGGACTCGGAACTCAGGGGCCGCATCCTGCCTTCTGAGCCCCCCCCCACCGGTTTTCCAACAGAGTCGGGAGAAGCCGAGGCGGCTGGTCCCCTGCCAGCGAAGCGGAAGAGCGGAGCAAAGACGAAGCCCCCTGGGCACGCGAACCCCTGGACCCCGGGGGGGGGGGGGCGGGGGCCTCACGGAGCCACGCGCCTGGAGGAGGAGGAGCGAACGGCAATACTGCCAAGGCGGACCCGCCCCCAAGGGACGTGACTGGCTAACTCCCTTCGGCACAACCAATCAGGCGAAGAGATGGAGCAAACATGTTAAGCCCCGCCCCGAAGGCCACGGAAGGTGATTGGGAGGTTTCTGAAAGCCCCGCCCCGCGGAAGACCGCTGGAGAAGAGAAAAAGGTTCCAATAGGAGAGCACAGGAAACCCACCGAGGCCGGAGCTCCGAGGTGTCCCGCCCCGGCTAGAAAGCCCTAGTCACCAAATACTTACGTTTAAAACTTTTCGCTCCGACATCTTTGCCTCCTACTTCTCTCACAAGCACGAGAAGGCTGCTTAGGCTCGGTGTTTGCCTAACTCCGCTGACCGTCCCTTGTATTTCCGCTAGCGTCACTTCCTCCACTCTATTACTGGTTGGAGGATATCAGGTACCCTTTTCATTGGCTTTGGTCCCCGTCTGTCAAGCGCCGAATCCGGCTCCCTTCCCTCCCGAATTACACCCTCGCTAGTGGGTGACAAAGGTTCCGGAGGTCGGCTGATTTGAAGTTCTGGGGAGGTTCTGCGCCCCCTAGAGGTGAGCAGCAGCTCACAAAAATTCCGTCGTGACGCGCCGTGGCCGCTGCTCGCGACATTCCCTGCTCTTCACTCCTTTCTGGAGCGAACACGGAGGTCGGCGTTGAGTGTTACTCTGTGTGCTGGGCTGCGGGAAGCCACACGTGTTTCTGTGTCCCTAGCGCGCACCAGGGGACCAGGGACAGCTCCCACGGGCTCATGTCCACAGAGCAGCCTGGACGCCCTCCCCCAGGTTTACCTGGAGTCCCGGGCAGAGACTCATAGACCAGCTCCCGCACCCACCTGCCCTTCACACATGCACGCATCCCCTCCCGCACCCACCTGCCCTGCACATGCACACCAGCTCCCAAACCCACCTGGTGCAACAGAGCAGTGTTGGGTCAGTGGAGAGAAGGGGCACCTGAAAGGGTGTGTGAGCTTCCTGTGGCTGCTGCATGGTTACTGCAAGCTCGCTGTCCTAGAACCACACACGTTTATTATCCTATGGTTTGGAGGTCAGGAGTCTAAAGTTGGGGCACCCGGGTGGCTCAGTTGGTTAGGCATCGGACTCTATCTCAGCTCAGATCATGATCTCAGGGTCGTGATATCGAGCCCTGCGTCAGTGTGGAGCCTGCTTAGAATTCTCCCTCTCCCTCTGTCCTTCCCCTCGTGTGTGTTCTCTCTCTCTCTCATTCTCTTTCTCTCAGGGTGGAGGGGAGAGAAGTCTAAAGTGGATGGGAGAGGGCTTCAGGGCAGAATCTGTTTCCCCGACCTTCCCAGCTTCCGGAGTCCGCCTGCACACCGCAACTCATGGCCTGGTATCCACTCTGGCCTCTGCTTCTGTCGGCCCATCACCTTCCCTCTCTCCCTCTGACCCTTGTCATTAGGCCACCTGGACCATCCAGGATAACCCGCCATGACGTCCGTTCACTTAATACAGGATCCTTAATCTTTGAATTAAGGATCCTCATGATTCTTAATTTAATCACATCCGCAAAGTCCCTTTTGCCATGTAAGGGACTGTATTCCCACACTCTGGGGATTATGGGGCGGCTATGTTTTGGGGGGCCATGACTGCTGGCCATACATGAGGTGGTGAGGAAAGGCTTCTCGGAGAAGAGGACTTTAGACCCGAGTGAAATTCACAGAGAAGCCCATGGATTTTTCTCCCACCTTCAGTCCTGGTGGCCTTGCACCCCTCCCCGCCCGCCCTCTGGCCAGAGAAATCCTCCCAAACTCATACCCTATTTGCATTTACCCATAATGGGGCTCACCCCCAGGCAGCTTTTCAGGAGGTACGTGAACTGAATTGCTGAGTGAATGGATTTCACCCTTCACCCCGTCCCAGGCAGAACCCTCTCAGCAGCCCCAGGACTCCCACAGCCCCAGGCTCCTCCTCTGGCCCAGCCCTGACCCCGGGGATCCATGGGAGTGGGGATTCGCTGTGTGTGTGTCCTGCTTCATCCTCTCCCCTCTGGGTCTCATCTGGGTCTATTGAAAGGAGGAGGTCACCTGGGTGGTTCAGTTGGTTAAGCATCTGCCTTCTGCCCAGGTCATGATCCCGAGATCCTGGGGTCAAGTCCTACATCGGGCTCCCTGCTCAGCGGGGAGCCTGCTTCTCCCTCTGCCCCCACCCCCAGCTTGTTCTCGCTCTCTCAAATAAATAAAATCTTTTTAAAAAATGAAAGGAGGAGGAATCCTGATTCCAGCAAAAATCTTTTTTTAGTTAAACAATAAAAAACATTAGAAGTTCACAGTTCACAGAGCGCTGTACTGCGGCCTAAGGGAGAAGTGCATCCCCATTTCACAGATTGACAAACAGGCTCAGAAAGGCAAAGTCACTTGTCCAGTGTTGCGCAGCGACTCAGCAGCAGTGAACCCAGGCCAGATGGATCCCGTCCGTCCTTGAGTGGGTGGCAGTGGGGGGCGGATGTCAAGGACCCAGCCCCTCTTCTGGGCGGTGGGGGGGGCTGGGAAGCCCCACTATTTGCCCAGGGGCTTGGAGGCAGCAGCAGGGAGACTCCAGTCACTTGCTTCCCCATAGTCGGTGAGGTCCTGAGCAGCCACCTGGATGCAGTACTTGGCTTGGGGCCTCACAGCCCTGAGGGTGAAGGATGTGGCTTCAATAGGCCCCACCTGAGAGTGGAAAAGAGGGGTGAGGTCAGTGGGAACAAGGAGGCTGGGAGGGGCTGTGGGGCACGGAACCGCATGACGGAGCTTCGGTTCCCCCGCTCCATCCTAACAAGTATGCCCCTGAGGCCCCCTCCATATCGTTGCTCCTTCCTGATCCTTGGCCCCCGAGCCACCCATTTCTGGACACCCTTGTGGACCACACAGACCCCCAAACCCAACACCCCACTCCTCCTCCAGGCCCCAACCACAGCCTCTGCGATCAGCCTCAACACCTCCCTCCCTCCTGGCCCTGCTGTATTAACCTTGTTTCTAAGTTTTCGGCATCTTCTCTTTCTGCTACCGGCTGCATCTTGCTGACCAGGGAGATACTGCCCCTCCCGGGGTCAGCGGATTCTTAGAGATGGCCTACCAGCCAGGAGCATGGCTCTCGTGTACACGCCAGCCCATCAGACCCACAGCCCACTCCCTCCAGCTCCCACACAAGCCAGCCATCCTCCTGCCCTCCAGCCTCCCGGGGCCAAGTGCAGCCCAGCAGCGGCCAGAAGTCTTCAAGCTCGCCAGCCCCCAGCGAGCGGTTCACCCAGCCCTGCCTTGCCTTTCCACCGAACCCCCCACAGAGGCTAGGCCTCTTTCCCCCTGGACTCCTGTTTCTGCCTCCCTCCCTCCTGTCTTGATGTTGCCCGTGTGGGCCTGCGTGGCGTGGCATGTCCCCTTCTCTGGGGAAATGTAATCAATTCTTCTTGCAATGGCGCTGACCTCTCCGCGTCCGCTCTCAGGCATCTCTCTCCCGCCATTCCCACTTTCCCTCCTAGATGCGGCTCTGTCCTCCTTCTGAGTCCCCCTCTTCCTCAGAATAGAACGACAGACCAATATCCCAGGCCCCCCACCCCCCCGCATCCCCCAACCAACTTCCTGGCCCCAGATCTGACTGTCCACCTCCCCGCTCGGCCCTGGGTCATCCTGATGGCACCGGATGTGGCCGTTTATGTTTTACATTTAGATTAATTAATGATTGCATAACTTTGTGAATATGCTCAAAGCCTTTTTGCCTTGTGCAGTTTTTATGAGTTTTACGGCATGTGAATTCTGTCTCAATCTAAAAATTGCAAAAATAGGGGCGCCTGGGTGGCTCAGTCATTTATGGGTCCGACTCTTGGTTTCAGCTCAGATCATGATCTCAGGGTCATGAGATGGAGCCCTGCAAAGCCAAAGTCTGCTGGAGATTCTCCCTCTCCTTCTGCCCCTCCCCCAACACTCTCTCTCTCTCTCTCTCTCTCATAAATAAACAAATCTTAAAAAAAAATCACTTCATTCTCACCACTAAAAAAATTCCAAAAAAATAGAGGCACTGGGCTGGCTCAGCTGGTAGGTAGAGTGTGTGACTCCCTTTTTTTCTTTTTCTTTTTTAAAATATTTGTTTATTTTAGAGAGAGAGCGCACAGGAGAGCAGGGGAGGCGGAACAGAGGCAGAGGGAGAGAGAATCTTTTTTTTTTTAATCTTAAGCAGACTCTGTGCTGAGCGCAGAGCCTGATATGGGGCTCGATCTCACGGCCCTGAGATCATGACCTGAGCCGAAACCAAGAGTCAGATGCTTAACTGACGGTGACAACCAGGTGCTGGGAGAGTGTGACTCTTGATCTTGGTGGTGTGAGTTCAAGCCCCATGTTGCACGTAGAGATTACTTAAAAATAAAATCTTAAATAAAAAATAGAATAAAAATGGGGCGCCTGGGTGGCTCAGTTGGTTAAGCGACTGCCTTCGGCTCAGGTCATGATCCTGGAGTCCCTGGATCGAGTCCCGCATCGGGCTCCCTGCTC